TTTTTATCTATACCTTTAGACAAAATTGCAGACATGTATTTTGCAAAATAAAAATAAATTTTAATGGTGTGTTTTTTTTTTTTTTTTTTCCCAATGCTTTTGAAATGGAAGTGATTTCAGAATTTAGTTGTTTCCCAGCTTCCCTAAACTGGGAGTTTAAAAAAAACCCCAAACCACCAAACCCAGAATTGTCAGGTGTTTTGGTGCAGAACAAGGCGCTGTAAATAAAGCAAGCTGTGGTCTTCGCTCTAACTTTCTTCAGCCAGTTGCCCTCTTTCCTACCTTGAGCAGAGAGGAATAAAACAGTGGAGTAGATTCCTTGTAGATCTGTCATGTAGACAAGTAGGCTGAGCAGAGCTAGCTGTGATCTGGGATGAGGGATTTCTGTTTGTGTGGGGTTTCTGCAGGGGAAGTGGTAATCCCAGTTGCATTTTTTTTTCCCAATGAAACAATTAAAGAACTGAAAATGAGCAGTAGGGATTATAAGCCTCTTTATGTGTGCAGTCCTTGCAGTGCAGCAAGCTGCTGGTGGTATTTTTTTAATTGTAACCAGCACTGCTGCTTTAACTATATCATTTTACATTTCATTTGTTTGGGCTATAAGGGACCTTATGAGTGGCTCTGGCTGGTAACCTTAGCCTCACCTTCAGGGAGATGTTGGCCTCCTTAGACCTGCTCCTGGTCCGTCTCCTGCGCAGCATCCTTTGTGATTTCAGTCAAAACAGTGTTTTGTTTTGATCTTGTAATTGCGAAGGAGAGGGTAGCTGCTGTATGAGAGCTGAGTGGGAGGACCTGTGTTGGCTTTTACAGAAAGAACCCTAAAATGGAAAAGGGACTCTGTGTACGCTGTGTGCCTTCAGGTTTGTAAAAAGTCACCGCAGTGTACAAGAAAATAGATCTGTGACCATCTTTCAGCTGTGGTTTCTAACATGTTCTGCTGCATGCTGAGCTGAGAGGAGCACCGAAAACAGTCCTTCAACTAGTAACTGTAGTGATTTATTTTTTTCCTCCTGATTTGACGTTTGCAATATAGGTTTGCCTTGGCTGACACTTCCAAGGCCCTTTTGGACCTAGGAGCTTAGGAACTAGATGAGCTAAACCTGAGAAGCTGTTACAGTCTTTTAATGCAAGCTGGCCTCATCCTGGTAACATGGGAAAACAGAGGCTTTTTTTGCTGATGAATAATCTGTTGGCAGGTTCTGCCCCGGTGCTGACAGCACCAGGAAGCCAGCCTGTGTGTCACTGGGCTCCCTCCTGCTTGGCAGGCCCAAGCTGCAGCCATCAAAGGTGTGAGGTGGTAGCACAGATTGTGCAGGAGAAGTGCCTGCCCTCTGTACCTCGCTGTCCTGGAGGAACTGCTCCTTGTGAGGGCTTTTCCCTGTGACTCCTGGTTTCTTGACTGGCCTCTGGGCTGGAGCATGGCCTAGGGTGGGCCACAACTCTTAGATCTGCACCCACAGGCCAAGCAAGGTGTAGCAGGCCTGTAAAGTAGGTGCTATGTTCTCTTCCCAACCACGCTACAAGGCAAAAGGAAGTTCTTTTGGCAAAATGTGCTACGCGTGTATTTTCCTTGCAGTTAGGCTCCTGGTGTGGGCAGTCTGAAATCCCTCTGCGTGGTGAGCAAAGTTGCCAAGGGGACAAGAGCGAGGCGGCTTGTAGGTTTGCAGGTTGTCACCTTTTGATGGGAACAGAGGGGTGAAAATGCCGTTTCCTTTATAGGGAAGGTAGGTCATCTGAGGAGTCGATGTGGGTCGGAAGTGCTGCAGCTTTGCATCCTTTCGGCCTCTCGGTGTAGCTGCGTGTGCTCCCCACGTGCTGGTAGACAGCATTTTTTCACTGACTCGGCTGGAGACCTGAGGAGCTCTCGGCAACCTGGTCCTGCACTATTGATGTCTGAATCCTTGGCTGGAAAACTTTTTTGTATCCGCATTGAACTTTGGTCATTCAGTAGTGTCGAAAAGGCAATTTGTAAAGTCTTGGCTATTTCTGCTAAAAGTCCCCTGGGCAGCACTTTGTAGGAGGAGGAGTATCCTGTCTGGGAAAGAAGCCTCTCTCATCCCCAGTGCTTTAGAAGGGAGAGGCCTGTGTTTTGGTGCAGCATGTGAAGCCTAGAAAATAAATGAGATGTAAAAGTGGCTTAAAAGAAGGAGTCTCTGAAATGATGATGGATGGTGTGGGGGAGACCCGAGTTGGAAGCCTGAGGAACTGGCTGAACCAGAACTTTTGGAATTGAAAGTGTTGGGATTTACCTCTTATCTGTCAGAGCCTGGGACTGGTCACCCTCAATTCTGCTGAGCAACCCTGCTGAAGATGACTGCTCCCTGGCCCAGGATGGGAGTCCTTAATGCAGGCACTGTGAAGTGTGCCAGATGGCAGATGTCTCCACGTGCTCGCAGTCTCTTGCGTCGATCCCCCAAAATATCTGCTGTGGTTAGGTACGCCCCCCCCCGCCCCTTAAAAATAGTTGTGTCTGGATACTTGCCTTCCTGGGCGGGGAGGAACATTCCTTCCTTTTGGGAGGAAGTAGATGGGAGTAATGTAGAAGGAACTTGAATGGTTGTTTGTCCATGGTGTTCTAATACTGGTGAATCAGTGGGTTTTTTACAAACAGTACATTGCAGTAGGTGATTCTTAGTTGAGTCTTAGTTGTTGTCTTGCTCTAATCCGTATAATAGCATGAATAATCTCTTGAAAAATTCCTCTCAAAGTTTGCATGAGGATTAACTGCTGTGGGAGGTCAGCACTGCTGGCCTTGGAGTTCTGCAAGGCCAGGGTTAAAGTCAGCAGCATCAGCCTAGCTCCAGTGCAGGCTGAAGGGGCGCTCTGACTGACTTTGAGGTGGCTGGTGTTTCACGGAGCTGAGGTGAATGCCCAGGAGGCATCTGAGTGTGTGGGTGAGTCAGGCTGCTATCTTACTGTTTTGTTTATGAAAGGAAACCACAACAGTGGGATCAAATTGGATGCTGCTTTTTGTTTCTGCCTCTGTGTGTGGGTGTGGTGGGGGGGGGAAACCCCAAAAACCCACAGTGGAGCTATGAGCAGGACAGGGTCTCTGAGATGAGGACCCAGAAACATTCAGAAGGATCTTGCCAGAAATCAGAAATTTGCTGACGAGTTTGTGGGATGTGCGTGTGCGGCAGAGTACCATAAGCCACGTGCACTCCTCTGAGCTAAACCAAACAAGGTGGGGATTGCCCCAGTGCCCAGTTTTCAGGGGGCTATGTTTTGTGTTACTTCCCGTACCTGCAAGATGGTAGGAGAGTGCTGGGTTGATCTAAGGTGCTTAAGTGTTGATGTGATGGGGTGCGTGTTTGAGTTAGGGTTTTGTTTGTCTTGGTCTGCTTCTAGCAAAAGATAGAGGCTGCGTTTCTTCAGGTCTGCGAGAAGTCGCTTTTTCAATTGGTAAAATTTTCCTGAAGGTGCTACTTGTAGTCTTTTCCTCTTAAAATGTTAAGTTAGGGGATTCAGGTTTAATAATTGTCAGATATTTCACTGATATTTTTTTTTTTTTCAGATAAGTGCTGTGTGTGTGCTGCTAGCTAATGTATGTTTCAAAGCACTTAATGCTCGACGTTACAAACCAGTGCAAGATCAACTTAAATTTGCCAGCTGTATTTTTTACTTCCTTTTGAAAAAATGGACATTGTGAGAAGGTTTCATTGTGATTTTTCTTTAGCAGACCTGCAGGCCAACGTGTGTATGAAGAACTTGGTAAGGCTGTGAATGCACAGTCTGTGCCCGATGGGCTGCCTAAACGTGCGGTTGGGCTAATTGCAGAGGACTTAATGCTGACCCCTGCCTGGCTTACCCCCAGCGCTCCCTTTCCCTGGAGCGTGCAGCACCATAACCCGAAGTCACTGTCGTCCTTTAAAATGACATGTGAGCTTCTTCTGAAATAACTTCACTTTAAAGCAAACCCCATCCAAGGTAAATTTTGTGGATTTACATGATCCTCAACCCAATTCCAGCGTGGCTGGGTTCAAGACATAACTTTGAAGTGTATTTTTTTTTTTTTTTTCAGTTATTGCCTTCTAGCTTCTGCCAAGTGCCAGCTGCTAATCAGCTGACCAGTGACATTTGGATTAGGAATTAAACTATTTCTCCTCTTGGAATGGGACATGTGATTTTTATTTTTTTTCCCTCCCCATTGCTTTTCCTGTGTAC